GTTCGTTCTTGTCATATATATATATATATATATATATATATATATATCAAGGCATATATAAGTATCAAGCTAGCTACATACCTAGGTATAGAAATGGACATATAAATGTTGTTGGGTTAATTGCTCTTCTCTCCTTTACATCCCTGCCGTTCATTTGTCTTGGCAATACGATGTGCTGGGTCCTGGGGCGGAGATTCTTACGTAGCGAGAACCAAACCCCTCCCGGGTGCTTTTGGACCTGACAAGCCCGGTGTGGAGATGGGCTTGTGTCGCCTCCAAGATGCGACAACCGCAAACAAGCTTGGTTGCCAGTTTACCGATATCTCATCGACCCATATCCCAATCTCCAACACCCACAAAATACAACAAACAAACAAACAAAAAACGAAACCATGGCCCCCATCGAGCGCATACACACCGACAAGGCGCCCAAGCCGCTGCCGCAGTTCTCGCAGGCGGTCAGGCACGGCGGCACCGTCTACTGCTCGGGCGGCATCGGCGTTGACCCGGCCACGGGCCGGCTGGTGGGCGGCACCGTCAAGGACCGCACGCGCCAGGTGCTGCGGAACCTGTCGGCCGTGCTCGAGGCCGCCGGCGGCTCGCTGCGCTCCGTCGTCAAGGTCAACGCCTTCATCACCACCATGGACGACTTTGCCGCCATGAACGAGGCGTATGATGAGTTTTTCACGCATGAACCTAAGCCTGTGAGCTTTTTTCTTTCTTTTTTCTCTCCCTCTTCTTTTTTCTTTTGTCTGGGGTTGTTTGTTTGTTTCTTGTTAACAGTAAAAAACAAGTGCCGAACCTGCGTCGCGGTCCATCAGCTGCCCTTCCTTACCGACGTCGAGATCGAATGCATCGCCATCGTGGACAAGCCCGAGGCCAAGCTGTAAGGGTAGGGAGAAGCAGGGGCGGTCGTTAGCTGGACATGGATTTACATTTGATACAGTCCCACAAAAGTAGTCTGGATAAAAACGCAGTTTCCGACCAAAACTTACAGCGTTCGAATGCAAATAAAATAGCCAAATAAAATCGTAAAAATAAACCAAAAAATAAAATTAATAATAAATTACAAAACCTTTAGCATATATTTTCTTTTGGATTTGTTAACGTGCCGTACGCGTTTGGAAAATACGTTAAACTTGGAACCTTAAAATGCATCCGCTATAAATGGATTTACCATCCCCTGAAAAGCGCTGTAAAGAAAATTTTAATTTTTTTTAATTTGGTATGCGCTGTAATTTGGGCTCCTGTGTTTTAAATAGTTTAAAATTAACTTGTATAATAATAAAAGTTCCAAATTTGTAAATGCATTTCGAATTTTCATTTTAGCATTTTTTTCTGATTTGATATGGCGTTTGGAATGTGTTGACTTTTGTATGTAGCTTGGTGGTGTGTATTCAGACTACTTTGGTGGGGCTTTATGTGCCCATGTATAGTTGACTCCCGTCTACAGTCAGTTAATTGATCGCGGCCGCGTCCTGTTGGCCAGACAGTGCACCCTAAATTTCGAGGGACTGTGTAGCACAAAGGGGGCTGAAAGGGAAGAAAGTCGGGCTGTGCCGCCCCGTTGGATGCGCTTGGTGTGGGGTACGACCGAGCATACCTGCCTGCTAGAGACCTACCGACTGACAACTGCCTGCCTATATCCCAACGCGACGCAGCCTCCTTGGTGTTCTGCCATGTCACGCGCCTTTGACGGTACGCTTATGGACTTTACCGCTTTGACGAAGACTAGTCCGGGCCGTCCACAGAGCAATGGCGTTCCCACCGAGGATTGCACAACCGAACTCCTCGTAGCGCTCAAAGGGTAACAATCCGCCGCCAGCCCCCCCGGTTGGGTTGCCCTTGGTCGGATCAATGCTGACAGCTCCCAAAACCCAACCCCCCTCCAGCCTCTACCAGAGTGGCGACTATTCCGACTTGACCCTGTCCTGCGGCGGAAAGGACTACAAGCTCCACAAGTCGGTCGTGTGTCCCAGATCCGACTTCTTTGCCGCGGCGTGCCGCGGTTACTTCAAAGTCGGTAGCTCCCAGAGACCAAGCGGTCCTCGTCCGCGACACAGCGGACGATATCTTGCTGACCTGGCTCTCGTGTTGCCGTCCGTCTCCGCCTAGGAAGCCCGCGAGGGAAGAATCAGCCTCCCAGAGGACGACCCTCAGATCGTGGACCTGATGGTGCAATACTTTTACCATCTGGAATACCACATCTCGGTGGAAAGCCACGGCACGCGGCGCAACAAGGACCTGGTGAACCAAACGCAAATGCTGGGCTGGCATCTCTCCACCCACGTCAAGGTCTACGCCATGGCCGAGAAGTACGGCATCGTGGGGCTCAAGGCCGTTGCTCGACGGAGGTTCGAGGCCGCGGTCGACGACGTCTGGCACCACAGCCACTTCATCGAAGCCGCGCGGGAGGCCTACGGGTCGACGGTGGAAACCGACCGGCCCTTGAGGGATGCGGTATCGCTAAAGTTCATGGCTCGCCCCGACCTGCTGGCCCGGTCGGAGGCCCGGGATCTTTTGAAGGAGGTGCCGGCGCTGGCATACGACGTTCTCATGCTGGTACACCGACCTGCGTACGATTACAACTGAGCATGGCATGGGTTGGAAAAAAACGGGATGATACGGACAACTTTGGCTGTATTCAGTTTAACAATGACCTCACGGGCGTGGGGTTCGGCGCACATGCAAGCTTCGTAAACGCGCCCGCTTTCAGATAACGATGGCCTCCACATAATCAAAACGACGTGGCCCAGGGAATTACTGGATACGGATCGGCGCCGCAGCGAGTCAGGCCGCCCAGTCCCCGTGCGCCCCCGGGGGGGAAGCCGGTGTAGGGAGGAGGAGAGGGGGGGATCTTAGCAGCCCGGCCTGCGCGTCTAGGCCACAGCCCCAAGTGGAATGATACACACCACGCCGTCCGTCCGAGCCCCTTCCGCCCGCTCATCGGTCCGCGGGAATTAACGGGCTGATTGGCTGTCATCATTTACGCCCGCTTCAGGCGGACAGCACCATGATTGGCAGGCAGGGAGCATATCTGCACTTTACGTCTTGTCAAAGGCGAAGATAAATAATGGCGCAATGTGGTGCCCCTCGTGACGGATGGGTCTGGGAAGAGTGTGCAAGGTGATTCTGGGTGCTAGTCGACGGCGGGCATGAAGCAGAGCAGGAGGGGGGGATGAAAGAAGACTGATTTTGGTTTTGGTGTTGCTGATGAGCATGGCGGGTACCATGTCCTTGTCACCGACAAAGAAGCATGTTTCCGTGGTGTCGGCAGAAGCACCAAGCACATGCTTCCGCCAACCGTCACAACAACCGCGAAAGGGACTCGCCAAGTCAATCGTCACAGAACTACTCCTTTAGAGGACAGAATAACCACAGCTACATCTACTTGTCTGTTGGCCTTGGGGCACAAGCCGTAATCAACTTGGCCGGCACGTTTGGTTTGATTTGATGGAGAGCCTAGCTAGCATACATCCAGACGGAGATCCAATCAGGAGTAGGGCACACCGGATACCCAAAAATTCAAGAACGAATGACCACAGTTGAAGGGTAGAAGGAGAAAAAGCGAGGGACGGAGAAGATACGTCAGACTTGCCCAGGGCAGACACGACACCATGAGAACTCAACCGTTGCGAGCCCACAGCGACTCCTGTCCCGGGGCGTACTGGAGGCAGCAGAGCTCCTCGCGCGACCCGTCGGGCCGGTTGCTGCCGTAGATGCGCTCCCAGACGGGCGCCAGCGACGCCGGCGCCGGCCAACTGCGGGCCGGGTCGCGGAGGCAGAGCTTGAGCAGGTGGCGCTGCGTGAAGGCCCTGTCCTTCTGCTCCTGCTGCTGCTTCTCCGTGAAGCGCTCCCGGCCGTGCAGTAGCGCCAGGTTGTTCATGTACACCACGTCGCCCTTGCGCGTCGGGAGGGCGAAGGCGTCCTGCCGGGCGAGCACCTCGACCGCGTTCAGCGCCTCCAGCTGCGCCTCGCTCACAGGCGGCAGCGCCTTGTTGCGCTTGCGGTTGGGCCCGAACCCCGTCAGCGGGTACCGCGAGAAGGTGAACATGACCTTGCCGTCCTTGGCGTGGATGCAAGGGGCCGGCGTGGGCGGGAACTGGGTGTAGTCCTGGAATCTATAAGCCGTCTGTGGTTAGCTGGAATCAACGAGAGGACTATCTTTAGACCGCTGCCTATAAAGCCGACACAAAACCTACGAGTCGAGAACCCAATTCTCAGCGAGCTTCTTGATGATGTCCGGGCGTTTGCCGGCGAGGACGTTGTAGAGATGCCACCCGCTCGCGATCTGGGTTCGCCCACCCGTCTCGGCCCCATCCCTGACGTACAGGGCGAGGATATCTCCTTCGTCGTTGTGGAAGCTCTGTGTCGGTGTCAAGGGCCATGTTAGTAACCAATAACGTTGCCGTGCTGACAACAGGCATGTTGATGTTGGAGACTCCACTTACCATTGCGCCATCGGTAAACCCCGGCGACGTGACCTTCTCTCTTTCCATATTCACCGCAGCGTTGACGACGTGGCCTTGTGTTGCTTGTGAGCAGTCATCCACAAAGAAGAGAGGTGAGAGAGACGCCATCCGAAGTACTGACATAGAACCTGGCTTCTCTTCCGGTCCTGGAAGGCGCGGACAGTGGCCACATTGGCCGAGATGCCCATGAATATCAGCGCGTTGTCGTCCTCGGAGTATTTCTCCGGGTCCAAACCCCTGAGGACCGTGAATCCGATGCCGTTGTAGCAAGTCGCCGAGATGCCGTCCAATCGGGCCCTGAGCTCGGCAGGCAGCGGGAAGGTCTCGGGCGAGATCGAGGCCGGGTCAAGGCCCAAGCCTGGTTTTGCCGTGCTCGGCCAGCTTCGTCAGTCCAAGACTGCCCAGACCACAAAAGGGGGGCTTATCATCCTCCATCCCATGTTCTATACGTACCACGAAAGTGAGCAAGCCCGTCTTCAATCCTCACAATGTCCTCCTCGGAAAGGACCGCAAGCCACTCTCCCTCCCGAGCTGATACTTCAGTTCCCTTCCACACCAGCGGGGATGTGAGCGACGACGGATATCCGCTCCGGGCAAGCTCGTCGGGAGTCGCCGGGCTGGGCTTCCACTCCGACAAGCGGGACAGAAGCTTGTCCGTATCGTGAGCCGATACGTAGTAGCGTGGCTCGGGTGCAGTAGCAACGACCGCTACAGGAGGCGCCATGGTGCTCGTGATGAAGAGGTAAGGCTCTAGTGAGCGAAGGAGTCTTTCAACTGGCTATATTTTTTTTTTGAGGATTTCTTTGTCTTTCAACTGACTGTCTCGGATACCCGTTCTCCAAGTGCGTGAGTGTTTGAAAGCGCCGAGCGGAGCAAGACAGGAGGGGGGCACAGGCAAAGATAATGTCGGCTCCAGCTGCAGCCAAACCCACTAGGCCCGTCCCGTCCGAACCTATCAGTCTATATCCAAAGACCCTCACCCACTCTGTTCGGGCGTCAGCTAGTGCGGCTCTTTCCGCGGGGGTGCCAGTCATGTCTCTCGAACTCCCCACATCATTCACACCACCTCCAATGCAAGCAGCACGGAAGCTCAGTGGGCGCGTGATGCGTGGTGGGCCGACCTAGTATGTTGGCTCGGCTAATCGAGCCTCGCAGGCATGCTCTAGCAAGGGTAAGGTCCAGGAAAGTTCCGACTTGACACCGGTTGTGGTGGTGTACTCCAACCTGATTGGAGTGACGCTCGCTGTTGCTTGATGGAGGGACGGCCGCCGACATCAGCACGTATCCACGACAGTCCCCTTGGTCCGGCGGTTCCGTCCCAGCCTTGGCCAGGCGTGTAGCGTGGAGCTGGACAGGTACATGGAACCAGGGCGCACGGGGTAGTGCGTGGCGGTGCTTGTGGGCAGGAGGGACCTACCCAAAGATTCCAGCTTGTCCCGTAGGCTGCTCTGGTACTTCTCGCTCAGCTTTGCCATGCCGGCCGCCTTGGGCAGGGATGGTAGCCCGACCGGCATGATGTGTTCTGCGCCTTTCTTGAACGTGTATATCAGGTGGCGGACCGACCAGTCAAGGTGGGACACCATGTTGTCAGACCAATCTTTTACATAAAAGTAGACCCCCTTCTCCTGTAATCAGAATCATCTCGAGGTTAGCTTCTCGCGCGCTGCCAGATAGGGGGTTTGGGGGCCCGAGCCCATGCCGTCTTGGAAGTGGGAGACAGTGAGACTCGCCCCGGATGCTGCATATTCCTTGACGAACTCCTCCTGCTCGCGTGCTACACACTCGGCCGTGCAGCAAAGCACGAAAATGGCGAGGAATATGTCCAGAAAGTGCTGCTTGTTCTTATCACGGATCTTTTTGAAGACATCCTTCATCAAATCATCCTGCACCACACACATCCACCTGATGATTACCGTGTCGATCTGGAGGTCGAGCATCGGAGGGATGGGGACGAGGCCGTTGAGTGCCGACCCCTCGTCCTGCACCTGTCTGATGTTCAGTGTCTCTTCGCCCGTTAGACCCCTCTCGACGTGGGCGAGGTTCGCCCCCGTCCAGAGCTGTAGAGCACGATATGTTAGGGACTTGGGCTGGTCGTCCTGTGAGGTAACAGACCAACAGCCGCTGTTAGCCGACCCCTTGCAGCGCACGCGGCCGTTGGCACGTTGGCGGCCGACCATGGAGGTAGCAGTCATGGCTTACCGCGTACTGCCGCGCCACATAAAGCCATTCAGCGAGCGTTTGAGCGTTCCGGTTAAGATGGGGGCTTCGGAGCGCGCTGATGAAGCCAACACACCAGCCGAGGGAGTCCTCCTCCAGAGCTCTTCTGATTTCTGCAAAGCGTGTGGCGGCCAAAGGTGGGAGCGTCCAGACCTCGCCGGGGGTTGAGCCTCCGATGTTCTTCCCAAGGCGGTCGCAACCCACCTGGCGAAACGAGCGGCACTGTACCTCGAGGGGCTTTGACCCAATTAGGCCCGTCATCTTGACCTGGAGCGATGTGATCCCCGCATTCGAAGGATCCCAGCACATTGTCTCCCTGCCTTCCACCCGATGGAGTGGGGATGCTTCAAGACCAAGACGTTCGTGTCAGCAGCGTCCTTGACACAGTTAGCTCCGGAGAGGGGCGATGGGGGCCAAGGGGGCCAAATAGGCGACAACAACAACAGGACAGGGCTTGCTTGCCTCTCCTGAACACGCAGCAGTCCTTGAGATCCAGTCTGTAGCACAGGACTACAAGCTCCGGATTCGTATTTCTCTCCTGCCTATCTCGGCAAGTCTTGCAGGCAGGACGACCACCGTTAGGGCCGCCAGTCCCAACACCACCGATACCACACTGTGGGGGGGTGAGTTTCAGTACGAAGCACTTGGACAGACAACCCATGTCGTCCGTAGAGGTGGGCGGCAGGCAAGGCTGTTAAAACACCTACGGGTCCCTTTTGCAACCTGCACGTAAAACAAGCGCCATTTTTTCTGGTTTCGGCTACCTCCTGTCGGCGACCTGGGGAGAAGGACTTCCTCTTTGTTGAGGATGTCGCGAACCGGGACATGTATGGCTCCATCTTCTGGCGATTTTGGCTATAGCGAGAAGGTCCGGAAGTGGCAGCAAAGGCAGGAGACGCCTGGGACTTGTCGAGACTAGACAAGGGCGCGATAGCCTTCTGAGGCCGTGCGGGGACGATATTACTTCTGGCGGGTTGGGCAACATGTGAAGACTCGTGTGTCGTGACATTTCCGGAGGGACTATGCGGCTGATAACCCGAAGGGCAGTCTAAAGGGTCTGTAAAGCTCACATGCGTGGAGCGCCAAGCATAGTCGGATTGCCAGCTAGAATCCGGTAGCGGTTCGGGGGGACGCTGTAGCGGCTCCGGGCCAATGGGAGCGGGCGGAACAAAGTGTCCTTGCGCAGGGAAGGCCGACAGGTCGTAGCCGGACAGGTCGGCCGGAAAGGAGGAAATCACGCCGCTAACCGCGGGCCCAACCAGATGTATTGGCGCGACCCCTCCGTGCAGGGGTGGAGGTACAGCAAGCCGCAGCTCGCCACTGTCGTCGCTTTTGGCAGCTCCGGGGCCGACCCCAATGCCGGCGAGGTCGGTACCAGAGACGGGTGGGCCAGGCAGGGAACCGGCGGCGGCAGGAACTAGGGCTGGCACATAAATATGGTGCGATAAGGACTGGGGGCCCCCAACGTCATGGCCAAGGTGTGGCGGGGACCTGACAGTGCACCACGTCGAGGGAGAGGCTGCATGACGGGTTACACACGTGTTAGCTCGCTGCCGTGCAAGAGTGCCCTGGACGCTGACGGGCGTTGTGTGGGCAAAATGGGCCGAATCCCTACCCAGGCGCTCCGCATGGGCGCAGTCCCACGGGCTGGGGTCACACGGCATGACTTGAGGGTGGGCCTGGTGGTGGCTAATGGCAGGCCCCGGGTGGTAGGAAAGAAGGGCGGGAGACAGGAAGCTGGGCGCGGCGGGAGCTGGCAGCATGTTCGTAAAGGACTGCGGCTCGTCCGATGTGGCTTCGGCGAGCGGCAGCGTCACCCTGGCCATGCCAACGTGGAATGAATGCAGCACATGCAACGGCGGGGGTGGCAGTTGGCCAGCAGCCATGGCTGGCTGGAGCGGAGAAAAGGAGCGGCTATTGTCGTCAGCCATGGAACCGTCGTTGGTGGCACCAGGCCCACCGCTGGAGCGAGCGTCGTGGTTGGCCTCCATATAGCGCTGACGGGCCTGATCCATGGAGGCGATGGCGTGTCTCGGGTAGGTTATCGCTCGAGCGAGACGGGAGGCAGGGGTGGGCCGATGACGGGCGAGGGTGCGGGAAGAGAGGGGATGGAGGGAGGGTGTGCGAGGTGGTGTGTCTTGTTTGTGGCACAGTCAGCTAGGTACTGGTACTAGGTACTAGGTACTAGGTACCGGGTACTGGGTACTACTGGGTGCTGGGTAAAGGTTCGAGGTGTGGTCTTTTAGTAGTGCCGCGTGTTTGGCGCCGACGTGCCGACACAGGCGCGTTCGTTCAATTTCGTCCAGAGAGCACGTCGTGACTTCTTGGTCCAGTCGGCGATCTCGGCAAGGGCAGGATTTGTCAGAGCCCAGGGGGAGAGCATCGGAGGGCTGTGGTTGGGCAGGAGCGCCCGACATTTTGGACGAAGCTTGGAGGCGTGGCTCAGCCAGTCAGCGTCGACTGCTCGACGCGGTGTCTGTCGGCTAACGGCAGCTGCTCTTGCAGCGTCTGGATTGGGCTGCCGCCTTGCGTTGCTTCCGTGTGGCAGCTCCTGGGCTCTGACTGGCTGCTTCTCACCGGTTGCCTCTTTGGGAATGGACACCTGCCAGGGTTGGCTGCATCCGCCGTGACGTGACTGCCTCCCGTCTTAAACCCAGGCATCACATCAAAGCACATCTGCGCCAAGCCTTGTCTCTCCATCCAACCGGACTCCTGCCAACCACCAGAGCCGGGCAGTGGGGGTGCTTGTTTTGATGGCTAGCCGCAGAACCACCGACACTCTCATGGAGCTCTCATGGAGCTCTCATGGAGCTCTCGCGGGGGCACGGGGGCACGGGGGAACGGATACCTATGCGTACATGTCTCGGCGACCCGCCTCGAGAAGGCTGTGGTTTTGTGATAAATACCTCCACCGTCCATCAGAAGGCCGTCACAACTGAGATAACCAGGGACCTTCCTTGTTGCCCTTCCATGCTTTGCTTCTCTAGGAGCCTTCTCGTCTGGCTGCCAAGCTCGACGATGCGCTGGGCCATTGTCTGCCTTCCCGACGCTACTCGATGACGGAAAGCCTCGTGCCAGCGCCCCGTGCCGGCGCCCCCCACTTCCCCAACTGCTTCTATCCCGTCGAGGCAATGGCGTCAAGCCTTCCTAGTCATGTCTCGGACAGAACCGTACTCTTGTCCGCCGACCCAGAGGCCCTCTTCTATGGGCCTCCCCATCTAGCACGTCCGAGGGCTGCAGAGGGGCGCAGCCCTCGCAGCCCAGGTCGACACAGGGTGGCTCTTGTTTTGTTGGCCGCCGGTCTCGTCTCGGGGTTTGCTGCCACCTTTCCGTCCTGTGCCGCCGTCTCTCGTACCCGTATGCAGAGGGCAGCCGCGCCAAGGCCCTTGATAGCTGCTTGAGATGGTGGTGTAGTAACTGCATGGACTGATCAAAATTCCCGCACATATCGTGCTGCTTTTTCTGCAGCGCCTTCACCCAATCGTTCGACCTGGCCTTCCTCGTCACCAATTACAACAAACTCATCGGTCGGTGGCCCTGCCGCTTGATTTTCACATCGTACCCAACCATTACCTAATGGTATATCTTGGGTGTAGCTTTAGATTTGGACAGCTTAGGCAGTGCTGTGTGGATGGTCCTCGCTAGCTCCATCAGCGAATCCGCCTCACAGCCCCTTGTCAGTAACCCTTTACTACACTGATGGGCCACCCACAAGAACGCTGTGGCTTACCGGAGCCCTTCCTCCCCTCTCATCAGTACAGCCACATCGCACTATCTCGTGGCGTCCAGTTGCCTCTCCTGGTTGCTGCTTGGCTCTGTGCCCAGGGTCTTCTGTCATGTTCGCTGTCGCCAAACATTTGGGCATTGGCCCTCTCGAGAGTCGTCGTCGGCTTGGGTAAATCGGGCCGCTCGTTATTGACCGTCATAGTCATCAGCGGTGAGCTCTCTCAGATCTTGGACCCTCGATGGCTGCCGAGACCCGGCATGTCTAAACCATCTCGTAGATCTTGTTAACGTTACCGAGATCCCATTATGGAGTTATGGAGAAGCGGAGTGCTCGTAACGGGCACCTTGGCCGAGATATCGGGCGGGCCCCTCGGCTCCTCCATCGCGGCCAAGTTTGGGTGGCGGGCTAAGTTGCGCCACCCAGAACCACGCGCGCGCGCTACATGCGTATTCGATGCTGACTAGACTCATGGCTGGCAGGTCATTTGATGCCGAATACGCCATGATGTTCGTGTCCTGTGCTCTGGTCGCCATCAGCGCCGCCTTCGCCCGCAGTGCGCGCGTAGACCTACTACCCCCTATGCCGGGCTTGAGTGAACGCCCGTTTGATGCTCTGGGCGCCGTCACCCTGCTGGTTGCGATTGTTGCCCCTCTCATGGCCATCAGCTTGGGTGGGGAGATGCTGCCGTGGACCCATCCCCTCGAGATGGCCCTTCTCTGCATCTCTCCCCTGTTCCTGGCGCTTTTCTGCTGGGTCGAGTCCAGGGCGGCCCTGCCCATAATCCCGATGGGGCTGCTGAGAAATAAGAATGCGCTCATGGTCATTGCCGCCGCTGCCGGCGTGGCCTTTGCCTACTCGGCAAGTGCTAGTTATCCGTGGTGCTTCCCCGCGCCATTTAATGGCTATTTAGCGCCAAAAGCTAACTAATGCCTTGACAAAATAGGTCATTTTCAACCTATCGCTCTATATCGATATCCAAAGCGCCGTTATCTTGAAAGATTGGGCCCCGTCCGTGATCTTTGCTGCCCGGCTTTTTGGTGCCATTCTCGCTGGCGTCATCGTCAAGAAGACCAAGCGGTTCAAGAAACTGCTTGTGATAAACATGGCTCTCCTCGCAGCCGCCTACTCTACGCTGGCCTTCACATCTACAAGTACGAACCTTGCATACTTGCCGCGTCAGCCTTGTCACCACACACGCAGCTAATTAACTGGGCCATTTCTTGCGCGACTACCCGATATAGCAACGGGCAGCATCACTTACATTACCCTCTTGGCAGCGGTCGGCTTCGCTATGGGCATTGTGGAGAATTGCTTGATCACTGCCCTGTTCTTGGTCGTCGACAAGATCGGTAGGTACACGCTGCCCCTATATTTCCGCTCTCGTTGGTACTCTTTCAACTGTGGAGAAAATTCACCGTGAATGCTCTTGAGTACCTACTGCACGGCGACGATACACAGATACCTCGAAGGGATCTCCAGCTTCACACGACCTGATCTCGTGCTAGAGGGGCGGTTTTCATCCCATTATATGCCTAGGCGTTATTCCCTATGACCTACAAAGGCCGAAAAGGGTAAATAAACTTATAAATGTGGACTGCTCTTCGTGGTTCAGGACATCATAGGCTATAAGCTCGTCGAACAAATCACCGCCCAACAGGATCTCTCTATACTCACAAGGCCCCCGTGCACTCAACCGGTCCCATCTATGCTGTGTGTAGCCGCCAAAAAACCATCATTACATCCGTATCATCGTATATAACAAACCGTAGTCAACACCCACATGAACAGAGTGCCGCCCCCCGACCGTACATGATCTATTCGTCCCTTCCAGCCCAACCATGAATAAACAGAACAAGGTGACCATGACCCCTCGGCCCGGCTCATCAGACAACCGCGGTGATGCGCCTGACAGTCTTCCTCGCCCCCTCGCCGCTGATGGTGACGGACCCGTCCATCTCGAGGGCACGCATGCACTCGGCAAAGTCGGCCGCCTCGACGGGCACGCTGGCCGATTCGGCCAGCCGCCTAGCCACGTCGGCGTAGCGGACCGAGCCGCCGCCGGCCGTCATCTCGTCGAGCAGGGCGAGGGCGGCGTCCTTGAGGTCCTGGCGGCGCCTGCGCTCGGCGGAGCTGGTGCCCTCGGTCAGCAGCGACATGTCGATGCGGCCCTGCGCGTCCGTCGCGGCCGTCTTGAGGGCCGAGCGGATCAGGCGGTAGGCCTCGCGCACGTCGTCGCGCGACACCTCATGGCAGAGCCGCATCTTTGCGTGCGCCTCGGACAGCCGGATCATGGACTCGAGCTGCCGCGTCGTCGCCGTGATGCGTTTCTCGGCCGACCGCACGTCCTCGCCCAGCTTGCGCATCTCCACGTACGACTCCACCATCTCGCGCCCGGCCTCCTCGCTGATGGTCGGGTGGATGTTGGCGCGCGCGTACGAGATGTACGAGGTGAGAAACTCCACGGGCTGGTGGACAGGAGTTAGTCATGGTCCGATAGTTGCTGTCGGCTAGAAACAAAAACACTTACCAGGATCTCGAGGCTCGACTGGGCAGACTCGGGCTTGTCCTCGAGGTACATGGAAAGCAGGTGCTTGGCCAGTCGCCTGTCGTTCTTCTCGTCAACACGGTCCAGAATCAGGTAGACCAAGTCGAAACGGGACAGCAGAGTAGGCGGCAGGTCGATGTTTTGGGGCACCGGCAAGTCCGGGTTGTAGCGACTGCCGATAGGGTTGGCCGACGCGAGGATGCTGGTGCGCGCGTTGAGCGTCGTGATGATGCCCGCCTTGGCCACCGAGACCGTCTGCTGCTCCATGACTTCGTGCAGCACCGACCGCGTCGCGTCCGACATCTTGTCGAACTCGTCGATACAGCACACACCGCCGTCCGAAAGGACCAGCGCGCCCGATTCGAGCACAAGCTGCCTCGTCTCCGGGTCGCGCGTCACGTAGGCCGTCAGACCGACGGCCGACGAGCCCTTGCCGCTCGTGTAGATACCCCTGGGCGCGATCTTGTGCACGTACTGGATGATTTGAGACTTGGCCGTCGATGGATCACCACAAAGGAGGACGTTGATGTCGCCACGGTAGCGCGGACTGCCGCCCTTCTGGAAGCTCTTGTTGGTGCCACCAAACAGCTGCAGCAGGATGCCCTTCTTCACGTCGTCCATTTCGTAGATAGAGGGTGCCAGTGATCGCGACAGCAGATCGTATATGTCGGGCCGCGCCGCCGTCGCCTTAATCTTCTCCTCCTCCTCGGGAGACACCTTGCGAGTCTCCTGCATGTGGTTCCCTCCCTGCTCGCCGGCCTCGCCCTCGCCCATGACCGTCTCATCATCCTCGCCCGCCAAGTCCAGCGTGGAGGGATCGATACCCATGCGCTTGTTGTCGACCTTCTGGATGTGCAGCACATCGACATATGTCTTGTGGACGCTCTTGACCGCGCGCTGGCGCGGGTTGACACGGACCGGCATGACCCTGAATACGCCCGTGAGCTGAACGCGGTCACCAGCCTTGCAGTAGTCTACGAGTTCGTTATACGCGCAGACTGACACCGAATGCGGCGTCTGGCCGGCAGGCACCTCGTCGGGGGTCTCCTGCAGCTTGATGACCTGCTTGTCCGTAAAGGTGCTGCGGTTGTGCACGATCTGCATAGAGTTCCTAGACTGGCACATTGCGCGGGGGCACACAATCGGCTCCGCAATCCGGCCGCGGTCGATGCTGACCGAGACCGAGTGGTTGCAGGCGCTGCACTTGAAGAAGGCGTCCCTCATATCCGGGATTACGGGCGTCGTGCGGATCACCAGACCCTTTACCGCGATGAGCCGGTCCATATCTGCCGGGTTGAGGTCTCGCAGGTTGGTCGTCTTCTCCAGCCCAAACGGCCGCACCATGTACGTGGTCTGCGCCACCTGGTCCTCGAGGTCGTGAACTTGGTCCTGGTCGGCCGGCCGCGGAGTCGAGATGGTTCCCGGCGTGCCCACGTCAGAGTCCGGGAAGGCCGGCTCGGAGCTCTGCGAGGCACTCGGCTGCGGCCTGGCGCCGCCGGCGCTGCTCTGTGATCGCTGCTTGGCCATCTCGGCCTGGGCGAGGTCCTCCATCATGTTTGTCAGGGCCTGGTCCATTATGGGCACCAGCTCCTGCGGGTACGCCTGCACCTGATGCCACAGTTTGACTGTCCGCGGGTACGCCTTGAGATCGCGCAGGTCGATGTACAGCCGCGAGCTGCCCAGCAGCAGCATCGTCTCCATGGCCTCCATGTACGGCCGCGACTCGGCGTCGTCCCTCTCGGCCGTCTCGGCCTCGCTCAGGCCGTCAAACCAGAGGCGGTACTTTTTTGTAAAGTTTTTCGCAAAGTCCTTGAAGGTCGTAAACGTGTCGTCGATGGAGACCGTCGTTCCCCAGATGAGACCAGCGCCGTCGCCTCCGAGCGCATTAGCCTCGTCGGTGTCCGGGTTGTTGTTTGCAAAGGACGGTGCATCGGACGACATGTCCTGGATGACCCGCCCCGAATCGTCGAGTATCACTCTGCGGTCTCCCCGCCGGGCCCTGAGGAGACCTTCGGGGTTGATGTCGCCTCGCCTGACGCTGCGGGCGGACCCAGCGCGCGAGCCGACGAACAAAGCACTGCTGTCGCTCCGCAGGTTGTCTGAGTGCATGTTGGGGGTACGGCCAGGGCTAGAGCTAGGGTCGTAGCGGACGGGGGAGGACTCTACGCGGGCGACACTCGGAAGGTGTTAGCAAGGATCACACCACCAAGACGGAAACAGACATGTATAGCCCACCTCCAATAAGCCGGCTGCCGCTGGCCCTTGGCGTCCGCTCGGGGTCATCCTGGCTGTCCGTGTTCTGCCGCAGAGGCGAGCTGGGGGCAAAGTTATTGCGGCCGTTGCCGGTGGACTGGGAGTTGGACATCTGGCGCAGTGGCGACGAGGGGGGCATCCTCGCGTTGCCGCCGGCCGGGGACGACTGGAAGAACATGGGGCTCGAGGCCAGCTGCGAGGCCCGGGTAGCCCGGGGCGTGGCCCGCGCTGCCGACGCCGGGTCCTGGTCGTCGGCGCCGGCGCCCGAGGGGCCTGCCGCGGGGCTGCCTTGCGCCGCCGCCTGCGAGCTGCGGGTGCTGCGTCCCGGCGTCGCAGACTGCGCGTTTCGGGTCCGCCGACCGGATGGGGTAGACATTTTGGGTGGTTGTGTTGCTTTTGCTGGGGGGCTTTGCGGCGGCGAAGTTTCGTGAATCTACGTTGGGTATTGTTTTGGTCACATCTGTCGCTTCGTGGGGTATCAATGGGTCGGGAGGGACAAGGGAGGCTGCGATGATTTGGCGGCGCTCAGACAGGTTGTGGTGGTGAGGGGAGCGGAATCCAGCAAAAACTGAGGGGCAGGGATGGCTTGATGGACAGGGGTCTCAATTCGATGCGTAAAGTGGCTCTTGACGCGCCTGGTTCGCGTTCATACCATTGTGGCTCGAGAACCCCTGTGGCTGAACACCGTGTGGGCCCAGGTCGAGGAGCACGGTACAGTTGAACAGCTTGGCCCATTGATTCACTGCAAAAGCTCGGTGGGGCGTTTGGCTGGCTGGTCGCATAGCAATGCATCTGGACACTGAGCGCTGAGCATCGAGCACCGAACCGAGCACCACCCCGACGACGCCAGCACCCCCCCAACACCACTCACACCTCAGCAAGATGGCCCCGGGCATGTCACTGGTGTCGGTGAACGCCATCATCATCCTCAGCACCGACGACGCCTCGAGAATATTCGCAAAATACTACACCGCACCCCACCATGCCGCCCCCGGCGCCGGCCAGGCCGGTGCGTCTTCCCACTGCTGTTGTTCCGGGCGGGCCGGGGAGGACGGACGTGTGCTGACCAGAGCAAAACAGCTTCCGCGACCGCCCCTCCCAACCCGTACGCCGACGTGAAGGCGCAAAAGTCGTTCGAGAAGGGCCTGCTGGACAAGACGGCCAAGCAGACGGGCGACATCATCCTGTACGACAACCGCATCGTGCTGTACAAGATGGAGTCGGACGTCATGATGTATGTCGTCGGCGGCGTCGACGAGAACGAGGTGCTGCTGTACAACGTCATCCTGGCCCTGCGCGACTCACTACACCTGCTGTTCAAGTACGTATTTGCTAGAATGCCTCCCCGTTTGGGAACCAGTCGGACAGACAAGCTGACCTGCTCCTCCCCCTCTCCCTCAGGCAATCGGTCGACAAGCGCACCATCATCGAGAACTACGACCTGGTCTCGCTTGCTATCGACGAGATCGTCGACGACGGCATCATCCTCGAGACGGACCCGACCATCGTGGTCCAGAGGGTCAGCAAGGCGCCGACGCAGGACTCGGTCAACCTGAGCCGCATCGACCCCTTCAGCGAGCAGGGCGTCAACAACCTCGCCCAGTTCGGCAAGGCAAAGCTAACGGACTGGCTGAGGCAAGGGCTCTGATTTATCTTTGTGTTGATGCTTTTGTTTCCAGCTTCTGGCGCAACTTCTCCTGTCCTCGTCTTCTTTGTGATAAAATGCAGTATCGGATATCGCCAAAAAGGAAAAGACTGGGAGTTGGGGTCATTGGGCGGCGGTGGTGAAGATAATTGCCAATATCCATGATGGTTTCCTGTTCTACCATTTCGCTATGCCTTGTGCGCCTTGTATCGTCTAGTGCCGTGAACGCCCTCTTGGAAAGAAAAGTACAGCTAGCCCAGGGACGGCATCGTCGCCCGCGCCACAGGATTCCCTCATCACCTAACCTCGGAAGCCGCCTTGCGAAGCCTATTCATGACGGCGGCGGCGATGTCGTCGCCGTCGCCCACGCCCTCGACGAAAATCACGTCGGCGCGCCTGGCGTCCAGCTCGCGCAGGGCCGAGAACAGCCCCTGCGCGACATGCCTGGGGTCCCGGCCCAGGCTCGTCTCCAGCACCGTCGTCGCGCCGCCGTCGGCGTCCCTCCTCTCGCGCTCGGTAAACCGCAGCGCGCAGCCGCCGTCCTCCCCACAAGCCGTCACCGTCCCAGACCCAGACCCAAGTGATCCGGCGGCGGCGGCCGACGACCGCGTCCTCACGACCCCTATCCTCCTCCCCGCCCCACCGCCCGCCTCCCACGCGCCATCGTCGGCACCAAACCCGCCCTCGTAGAGCACGACGCGGGCGCGCGGGCTATAATGCTTATACTTCATCCCCGGCGCCCTAGGCGCAGCAGCCGCCCCAACCTGCACCTCGTCGCGGTACGCGCGCACGACGCCCTCCCACCCGGGACACGCCCTGATCTCCTCGATGCCCACGCCGCCCGGGCGCAGGACCGCGGGCGGGTCGCTCAGGCCGTCGACGACGGTGCTCTCGACGCCGACGCCGCACGGCCCGCCGTCGAGGATCATCTCGAGCCGCCCGTCCAGGTCGTCGAGCACGTGGCGCGCCGCCGTGGGCGAGGGGCGCGTCGACGCGTTCGCCGACGGCGCCGCCAGCGGCGCGCCCGCCAG